GGATGAAATAAAATTTCAATGTTTCTTTTCAGGACAGAAAACAGTGCGGAGAGACAGAGAACTTGTTCCACTTCCTACCGGGTGCAGTCGCAGTGACAGGCGTATGTGCTTTTTTTTTTTTTTTTTTTTAAATTGGACCTTTTCTCGACATATGTATGTCATCCTTGCGCTGGGCTCATGTTAAATATTTTGTGTATCCTTCCTATTTTAACGAACACTCTGAAGGACACGTGGGTTTGCTGTAGAAGTGAGAACAAAACGTACAACTGTGTGATTGCAGGCCCGCCGTACTAGATGCTTTTCATTACGCCGGCCTGAAGCATCATCGGTGGTCTTCAGACTTAGGGTCTCGTTAGACACTCCTTTTTTTTTTTTTTTTTTTTAATTTATGAATTGGTCCCGCGGGACAGCTTGAGACGCTGATAGGAGCAGTCACCTCAAGCTGTCCTGGAGCGGCTCCACCTATTGGTGGGGAGCTCAAAAGTGCCAGTTTTTAGAAATTTTAGGATTGCAGTGTTGTTACATGCACACTGCATTCCTAGTAAATTTAAAGTTACTTCCTAAAAAAGGAAGTTAAAACAGCGTTAGGACTAGGGGTCTCATTAGACACTCCTAAAAGAATCCTAAAATTTTTAGGACGAGTCCTAAGGGTTTTTTAGGATTTCGTGCGGCGTCGTTACACGCAGTCCTAAAAATCATCTTTTAGGACTCGTCCTAAAAGGTTCCCCGCGGCCCGTTTTCATACGTGTATACGCAGCCGCGCCGCCGATGTCCGTCCATTCCTCGGCAGTGTCCGTGGTACAGAATGTGGTGGGCCTTGGGCGGGAATCGACGGATCGGTGAAAAGCGCGGTTCCCCAGAACTTCAAAATTTTGAATTCGAATTCTCGCGGACGCGTGCGCCGTGAAAAAGACGGTGCCTCCCTGCCGGCGCGTGTGACCTGAAAAAGACGGCGCCTCCCTGCCATTCGCCGCGCGGAATCCATCTTTCGAGTGTACGCAACTTGCGAGGAGCATGCGCATGATCGTGTGAGCCGAACGTTCGCCTCCGGCGTGCGTACCGTCCTTTAGAAGCGTGGAGCAGCGGACGCGTGTTCCTCTCCTGTGCCATTGTACAGCAGCGTTGGCATCTTGGACTCCGGCGTTGTTTGTCTACGACGGCAGGGTTCCGCGACGGGCGTGTCTGAGGCGGCTGTCGAAGGCGGGACTTGGCAACCGTGCGAGGATCGGCAGAGATGGACAGTCATGGCTGCTCAAACAGTCTACGCGAAGAAGAGATCGACGTCGTGGCGATGGCGGTGACTGTCATCGTCGTGAACACGATGGGCGACAAGGAGTCCTCGTCGCGCGATATGCTGATGCGGCTCCGACAACGAAGAGCGTTGTTGCAGAGCGTTGCAGGGGCGCCTGATTGCGCAGCGACGTGTGAGGCAGTCGTCCAGTTGTGTGCCGCGCTGACGTATGGTGTTTTCCCGCGGCAGACTCCGCGATGGTGGATTAAACGACGGACTGGCGGGACCTGCGAGGACCTCCGGCTTCGAGACGATGCAACGGACGAGTACTTCCGGCAGAAGCTGCGCATGTCGACGGGCATGTTCAACCACATCGTAGCCACGTGCGCCGCGTACATGGAGAAGAAGGTGACGCACTATCGAATGCCATTGCCAGTGGAGCAGCTGATTGCTTTCGCGTTATACAGGTGGGCGTCCGGAGAGACGTACGAGAGCGGCACGTCAGCATTTGGCATCGGCAGGGCAACTGGACTGCAGGCCGTCCACGACTTCACTTCGGCGCTGCTGCAGGCGTACCCCGACGCGATAAAGTGGCCAATGGGCAGGAGACGTGCGCAGATTCTGCGCGCTTTCCGTGAGAAGGGTTTCCCAAACTGCTTCGGCGCTATCGTCTGTACACACATCTACATTGACAAGCCCGCCAGCGCACCTTCCGATAACTACTACGACCGCAAACAGAAGTTCTCCGTGCAGGCGCAGGTGGTTGTGGATTTGGATTTGCGGATCCTCGACGTCCACGTGGGATACCCTGGAAGTGTGCACGACGTCCGTCTCCTGCACAATTCCCAATTGTTTAGGCGTGCAGAAAGTGGCGAGCTGTTCGATGCAACTCCCGAGAATCTGCCGCACGGTGTTGTCACGCGAGGCTACCTGCTGGGCGACAACGGTTATCCAGTTGCCTGTCCGTGGATTGTGTCGCCGTACGGAGGAATCGACCAAGGTGCTGACAAGGAGCGCTTCGACACGCGGCAAAAGGTGGCACGGGGGTGTGTGGAGAGGGCATTCGGCCGACTCAAGTGCATGTGGCGTCTGTTCTTGCGCACCTGCATAGCACGACGAACGTGTTCGCACCCCTCCACGTTCGCGTGAACGTGTTCACGTGTTCGCGTGAACAGGTCGCGAACATGTTCAGGCGAACCTAATTTTTTTTTGTAAAAAAAATAAAATAAAATAAAATAAAATCGGTTTTTGATTTTTAACTCATGATTGGTTACGAATTTGAACATGACTCCACAATATCCTCCTGGACGCGGGGATCGACTTCGACGAGAACCTTCGGTGGGAGGTGGATGCGAACGGCGTTCGGCGTAGAGTGGACTTGGGCATTGTGGGGAACGGCGCATGCGGGCGGGGACGGTGCACAAACGTGGAAGGTGAATTGTTGAGGGATGCACTGCGAGACCGCCTAGCTTTGATGTAGGACCGTGCAGTAGGGAGGTGGTGCACACGGGGTGGTTCGATCGGTAGGCGGCTGGAGTTATTACGTGGTCTATGTCCATGGTCGTCGTGGGCGTGGTTGGTTGGTCGTTCGAACAACGGCATGATTGTCGTCGACGAGTTCACATTATCGTTTTCATGCTGTTGATGGCTACCCGGTTCGCACAGTTGTGCGAAGTTTAAAGATTGGAAAAACCTTTTTTTTTGCCAGTGTGTGTCGTCGTCGTTAGGACTTTTTGTCTTTTATATATTTTTCCTATCTTCAAATCGTTTGTGATGAACGGTGTCGCGCGATGGGAAACATGGTTGATGTTGTTGTTGTTTTATATATATATATATATATATATATATATATATATATATATATATATATATATTGCTATCCATCTATGGAAATGTTGTTTATCTTTATCGTTTTTTGGTGCATATCTTCATTTCAGTTTCCATGACCGGTTTCGTGTGCTGTTGTGGTGGGATGACATGTGCAACATGCTTCTGTACGATCCCGTCATGCATTCTCTCAATCCGTGATCAACGCATGTCTATTGCATGTCGTGAAGCCAATACGAAGAACAAGAACAAGTGCAACGCAGACAAGGACACTGCATGACACGCACGACATTTGTGTCCCACAAAAGACATGACGACATTCATGACAACGACATATGACAGAGTCGTGAGAGTTGTCACACGCATCGCAAAAAAAAAAACAACAATTAACCGCCACGCGCTTCAAATCGTCCGAGACAACGAGGAGCATCATGCATTGATAAAACAACCACGTGCGCTGAACGCAGAAATAAAAAGAAAATAAAAACAACAAAAAAAAAAACGAAAAACAAAGGTGCAAACCTTTCATCCCGTGCTGACGCTACTGGCCGCACACTAAACACCTACGCCACCGTCGAAGATTCAGCTGAATCCCTCCGGCCAACACGCTAACCACCGAAACTATAATGACACAATCGAACTGAATCAACCTGTGCTTATGCCACGGGCGCCACAGTAAACCTGTGCACAATGATGAAGGAGGACTCTGGCGAATCCTGGCGGCCGACACTCTAATCAGGTGCGCCACGCACGATACTCCAATCACACGACAGCCCATCACGTCTCGCCACGAGTACATGCGCCTTCGTTCTTAGAAGCATTGTCTCCCCGCTCTCCCCCCGCATACCAGCCCGCCTTATACGTCGTCTTTTCGTTCGCCTTTGATGTCATCATCGGCGGGGCCCGAACCCAACCAATCCAACCTCTCCGCATCCTTCGGCCCCTTGATGGTCGCGTCGTGCGCAAATCCGATGCCGCATGGTACCCAATCAGGGATGTAGTCGGGGTACACTCCGAGCGTGGCTTTCGCCTTCCCAAGCCTCTTTGTGATGACGTTCGCGGCGTGGACGACGGATCGTCGATGATCGAAGGACCGATGCATGGAGGCGATTAGTGTCGGCCTCGCGACGAGATCCGCGAAGTAAAATGCTTTGAAGTGACTGCGCGAATCGTCTCCCGCCATGCGCATAATCCACATGGACGCCGCCAGCAACAGCCTGAAGCAGTCAATCACCCGACATAGACGCTCGTAGGAGATGAAATCGTCGTCGATGTGAGCGCCCATTTGCATCGCCGCGCGGAACGAATGCGCGATGCTGATGACGGTGGACTCCTAGTACGCAGCCATGTCGTCGTCCTCAGGTCTGTCCGCGATATTCGCGCCGACGTACCACAGTGGAAGGTCCATGTTAAGATCTATCGTGTGGGCGCAGATCGGCGCGCTGACGACGTTGCGCCACTCCTCGCCGTACCACATTGCACGCGCAATGTCCGTCGCTACTGACTCCAACGAGTACTGGAAAGCAAGGTGGTACCCCCTTGGGCGGTTCCCGGACTTTAAAACCCAGCCGTGCAAGATGCGCAGAGCTATATTCTCCACCGCCGCCGCACGGGAGATCGTTTGCTGGAGCCGTGATTGGTCTGCGATCCTCGCCACCCTCGTGCTGGATTTGGGGACGACAACGCTCCGCGGAAGTTCAGGTGGCGGAAGGCCGCTGGCGATGGCGACGAAGTACTCTTTGGTTTCGTGGACGATGTTGTAAAGTCTGCGTCCTTCACCTGTTGTCCAGAAACATTTGTCATCCACCCAAAGAAGCGCACGATCGATAAGGTCTTTCGTCATGACTCCCTTGCGTGCCCGGCTTGAAGCGGCCTCGCCACCATCCCGTTGGTTCGTGTTCTGTCCACGACCCTCCTCTCTCACCGTCGCTGGTACTGCAGCCACCTCTCTCGCCGCCGGAACGGGAGGGACAACACCTGCAACAGCCATACCCGCGCCACCTGCCGCCTCGCCCCCTGCTGCACGCGCGTCTGCCACGAGTCCCCCACCACCACCTCGTTGGCGAGACGCACTGTCACCACCGTCGTTGCGCTGACGCGGCTGAGACGGCGTGCAGGGCAGTGCACCTGTGATCGGCCTTTCGTCCTCCGCAGCGCGAGCCGTCGACACCGCCGCTATGGTCGCTTGTGTCGCACTGCGCACGCGACGTTTTTCCAAAGGCTCGTCGTCTTCGCCGCCAAGGTCCACCACAGCACCCTTCTCTTTCCACGTTTCGCGGACACGCAGCTGCTGCGCCTCCGGCAGAGGGGTTGACATCCTCTTCGAAGCGCTCTGATCCGGAGTACGCTGCCTGGCACTCTCCCATCCTGTAGACGCCGTCGCCTCGCCTTCATCGTCCTCCGTCATGAAATCATCGTCGTTGACCTCTTCTGCGGCTTGCGCCCAACCTCGCGCACCACAATGAGGCACGCTTGCTGACGCGTCATCCAAACGTAGCATCTTCGCCTTCGGGACGTGCCGCCGACCTTTCCCCTGGGCTTGGGTTTCGTCAAGCGCGACGTCGCGCTTCTTGCCACGGGCGTTCAATCTCGCAGACATGCTCGCTGGGGACCCCCACAAGCGATCTCGGTGTAGCGCTCGGTTGACGTGTGTTGTTTCGTCGAAAAATATGTCACCCGTCTCTTGCCAGCCTGGCGAGACGAGCTATCCCGACGACGCTGAAGATGTGTCCTCCGCTGCAGGATGACGACGACGCGCAAGCGCACGACGGAAGGATGATGTCCATGACGACACCTGTCCTTCGCGATGGCAGGAGTGCTCCGCGGTGAGAAGACTGACTGCCAGAAGAGCGGAAGCGATGACGGTGAGAAGCGTTGTGGCACTGCAGATGCGCGGCGGGAAGTGTGCAGCTGGCCCGGCGAGAAGCGTTGTGACACTGCAGATGCGCGGCGGGAACCTTGTAGCGCGCCCGGCGAGAAGCGTTGTGGCACTACAGATGCGCAGCGGGAAGTGTGCACGTGGCACGACGAGAAGCGTTGTGGAATCACCCTCGTGCGGACGACATTTATGCGGCTCCGGACGCGCAGCACTGAAATGACACTAGCAGAAGGACTATCCACGACGTCGCGTACTCATGGCAGAAAAACGGAACGACGACGACGACACGTGCTACCGCCATGCCTGTCCAGGCCTGTCATTATCAACCTCCCGAAGCTGCGATAAGGGCCTTCCACGTTCGGTCGTCGCGCACGAATGCACTCCGGAAGGACCAAAACAAAGACGGCCTGCCTTCACCCACGGACACCCCATCGCGCGTCCCCCTCGCAGCAAACGACCCCTCCATAACC